TCAAAAATGTCACAGTAGATGGGCCATTTCTCTGAGTACATCACTGCAGATGACTGAAGAACATCTAGTTTCATAGACACAGATCCCACCAAAAATGGACCTTTTCAATGCTACAAAATTAAAACCTATAGATGCTATGGCCAGAGCATTCAGCTGACACCACTCCAGAAAGCACAAGGAGGAAAAGGAAGTGTATTAATTATAAGATTTATTTTACAGCTTGTTATGTTTTCAGCGCAAAGCTTTCATGCTTTATGTGTTGGCAGGAAGTTTGCTAGACAGCAGTGCTCAAATGTAGAGTCATCAAGTCACCAGCTGGCCCTGATAGTAGCTTTTTTAGACTGCATTAGTGTTGACCATGCCTTTTAGATGAAGAGATATCCTGGGGAGCACATAATAGGGCAACCAAACATAATCAACTTAGGGATTGTGGATGGGCTCTGAAGCTCTTCACCTCTCTATTACTGGTTCCCATTTAGTTTGGTGACAGAAAGTCACTGCCACCTAATGGCTATTTTGTGTCCCATAAGAAAGTTCATTTGTTTCTCACCTTAGTTCACCAGAGCCTGAAGCACAAGTAGACCCACCACTGCACACGCTGGCTGTGGTGGAGAACAGTCCACAGTCCCCATTCACAGCTGCCTTTTTGAAGGAATGCCATGGAGAGTTCCTGAGGACTTCTCTCTGCAGATGCAGTCCACTTCCATCAGGAAGAAACTATTTTAAGACATCACTTAATATTTAAGGCACATGGTGTTACTGAATCACAACAGAAGTCCAAAGGCACAGGCTATTTCATTGGTCTGAGCTATCCAGAAACTGTAGATTATTTTTGAAAACACACAACATATACATTCATTCCTCTTCGTTCCAAGATACTTCCACTGTGCAACTTTATGGTGAGACAAAACTTATTTTGAAAATACCCACTCCACTGTGAGAAGTAAATGCAGCAAAGCCAGGAAGAGCCTCCAAGGAGCAAGAAATCGTATTCTGTATAATGATGGCACAAGGTTATACTTTCCAAATATTTGCCCAGGTACTGACAGCCCAATAACCATAAGTTTGAATGACGAGAACATCTTCATTCTGCTCTCAAAAGGAGGACACTTAATTAACCTCCCCAAATGGCTTGTCCCTGACAAAGCAATTTTGTAGCCAACAAAGTTAATTCAAAAATGGAATCCCACTGTCTACTGAGATACCTTGACCACAGATCCTTTTTCTCCTTGCTGTCTTCTCTTTATTATAAAAAGCAAAACTCAGAGCAGTAAAATTTTGTCTTACAGAAGAAAACAACAAAAAGATGTCCTGCTCCAGATTTTCAACTGTGGCCACTTGTGCCAAAACCAAAGACAACTGACCCATTGCAACCCTCTTACTACACTGACAACTCAGAATTCCATTGATACCAGGCCTTGAACAAACTGCATGTTGTGACACACCTCCTGACTGACAGCAGGATCAACAGAAATTGATGCCAGCAATGAAGAAGTGTCAGCCAAGACATCCAGATGCTACACTGAGAGGAACACCACTGGAAATGACCCATGGTAGTCTGACTTGGTACTGAGGAGACAAACACTGTGAAGGGCCAACATTCATTGAGGCAGAAGAATGTCAGAGAAATGTAGCCTTCTATAGAACTAAATGTTTTGTTAAGAAAACAATAGGTAAGGAAATGACACTGAGCATGCTGCCCTCCTTCTTCCTCTGGCCCAGTGCAAGCAGGAGTAGAAATGAAAAGAAATGCCCAAGCTTACATGTGCAAAGATGTCCAGAATCATTTAATGAAACAGACATGAAATGAAGAGAGGTCATACCTCCCCTAATACTCCTGACACTAGACCTACAGACATATGATGTCTTGGAGCCAAGCATTGACAACCGCCTTTGACACCAGTACACAGGCAGTACCATCATATGCAGGAAAAGGGCCCACACACCAGGAAAGGACCCCTAACTTAGGAGAAAGATTGAATTTCCAATGTGGTTGAGCCATTAGTGGTGAAATGAAGCAACCATTGGGAAGGACATAAAGCCCGAGCACATAAGGAGGTTCATCTCTGCCTCAGGCAGGGGCAGGAATGAAAAATAGCTGCTGCTGAGGGACAGCAATGTGTGCCATCTGGCAAGTGGGCTCTCATATCTCCTAGCTGACAGAAGATCCAGGGAGAGGCAAGCTAACCTCAGGACATACAGTGAATTCCCATCTACTGCTTGCCACCTCATGGAAAGTAGTAAAACTTTGGCCATAGTATGGCCAATATGCTAGCCATAAAAAAATGATGGGAACTGAGCAGCTTAGAGTATTAGCATCAAAACTGGTCACAAGGGACAGAACTATATAGTAAAATTGAGGATAATTCCTTGGAGCTAAGCAGGAACCTGGATAAAAGTCCCTAGGGAACCCATTTCCTTCTAAATCTGCTTTGCATTTAATTGTTTCCTAATGACTATGTTCCTGTTTGGCCCCAGTAGGCTCAGGCACTGGTGCTGCCACTGAAACTTCCCATCTATCATGCAAGGCCATGGGTAATTTAGAGACCTCAGTTTAATGTCTCATGGGGAATCCATGGAGAACAAGTTACGCATTATTTGCACTGGAGTAGCATCACCAGTATGCTGAGTACCAGGAGGAGATCCACAGAAAAAAGTGGTTTTGCTCTCCCAGCTGCAAGAACATCACAGACATGTATGCACCTGCACCCCAACACTGGAGACAGAGGCACAAAAACCAGATTCAGACCTTTTGGCACTATCAGCAGTTCCATGGTCACCACATCTCTCTCACACACACAGAGATACACCCTGCCTCACAGAGTCTCTCTTCTAGGTACAGCACCAAAACTGCATCTGGAAACCAGCAGCTAATTCATACACATGCTGACAAGAAAATTACAAACTCTCAGTATGTGAAAAGCAGGTTAAGCTGGCCTCACTAGAAGGACAGAAACAAAGACAGTACAATGAAGGGCTAAGAGTACTAGAGATCTATCCAGGACAGAAGCTAGCAGAAGCAATATCTTGATAAGTATTGTTAAAACACAACACTTATTTGGGTAGGGCATTCACATCATCTAGGCCCTATCCACTAACTAATCTTAAGTACCAACTCCAATGGGGTAACTTCTTACAGGTCATTCTGAGCTAGTACAAGACCAACAAAATCAGCTATCATAAAGAGTTAAAAGAGCTGCAAGGTGGTAAAGACTTGGTTGCCATCCACTTGAAACTGCACTGAGATAAAGTCTGGTGTACAATTGCCAAGGTCCAAAGTATCTCCCATGCCAAACTGATGCTTCACTAGCACAAGCTCTACAGGGATTTTGCTGAAGAACCCACAAGTTTTTCCTGCCAGGCTCAGTGGTGGCACTCCATAGCACCTGTAAACAGCAGGACCAGACTCCACTGGTCAGCGAGTTTCACCAACTCATGCCATGCCTCTGCCAGCTTCCTCCTATCTCCCAGCTCATGCCCCTTTCTGCAGCTGAAGGCTAGTGCTGGCCATGCTGGCATGCTGTGCTTGCCACTGGCTCTGCCACATGCAGGAGCTGACTAGTCCTGGCACCTGGTCCTGGCTGCCAAGCAGGGAGGACACAGCTCTGTGTAGTGCTAGCAAACAGGGCCTTTTCTGGCTGCTGGGGGCGGGAATTGACAAACCATCAAAATCCACATAACAGAGGTTAATGAAACCATGGAGATACACAGCAAAATGTGAGGAATTTGCAACAGCTGCTGCAAATTCTGCCAAATGATAAGCTGTCCACAGTACTGATAACTCCACAACTTGGGTGTCGCTCAAGGAAGCTACATGCAGCCCTTCTGCAAACCAGGTTTCAAAGGCTCAGGGCAGAGACATGGGCAGATGAACAGTGAAGCTCCAACACACCTATCTCCATTTTATGCCAGAGCATCAGTGTCACTCACTTGGGATGGGGAGCTACATTAGAACAGCTTAGCATCTTTAGACAGCAGAGGATGAGAACAAGCCCAAGGAAGCCATTCTGCAAACCACTGCAGGTACACTAAGACCATATTGATGATGTGTATTTTCTGCCAGAGGAATACTAAAGCATGCTGGAATCCAATGTCACTGATTTCTACCTTAGTCAAGGTTGTTTCCAGCCTTATAGTCCCTCCAGTCTGAGAATCCCTGGAGAGCACCACTCCATGCATTATAACCAACCACATCAGTGGCCTAAATCCTACCTGCGCCAAGAAGAAAAAGGAGGCTAAAAACCTTACTTCAAACACACTATGCAGACTGGCCTAATTTGGCACAAGCTGTATTTCCCACTCCAAAGAAGCCTTGAACTCAAATAGCAGAGAAACCCTGGCTAGCATACATCACAAGCACCCAACTAAAAAACCAAGCGTCATTCACAGCTCAATGAACTATATGGCTCTAGGCCGGAATGAAAGGTGCAGCACAAGACTTGAGAGGAGCAGTGAGAGTGCTTGTCTTCCTTCTCACTAGAAATGCTTTTGTTAATGCTTTTTGTATTGTTAATTACTGATATCAAAACACAACAGTGTGTTTCACAATGAGATGTACACTACTTTGCACAATTCTCATTTCCTCAGAGATCTGCAAGTTAGATTCATCTCTATTATTTCCTTTTCAACACGCTCCTTTTACTTAAATCAGTCAGCCTTCATGTTACGGCTATTACCAAACAATATGCAGAATAAGAAAGCACCACCAGGCCACTCTCAGCAGCTGACCACCACACAAACAGTCTGGCAGCAGAGATCTGGCAGCAGAGCCCAAATGCATACACCAAGGAACTTGAGTCTGGTGAGCACTGAATGCATACAGCTACCTTTGACAAAGGACCTTCTCCACTGGGCAATGCAAATCCTAATATGGGGTTGTTATCTAATATTGCTGTTAACAATCTGGTAGAAAGCATATTGAGTTATTAAGATGACAGCATTACAGCAAGACACCTGTGCCTTGCAGTTTCCAACGAATGCAGTTCAGTGCTATTACCTACCTGTGATTTGAGGAACTCATACTCCTCTGATCCATACGGGACACTCCGAAGAGAGGTGAGGTAGTCATAGGTGATAACTGCTGTCTGCAAATGAAACCAGAAATGCTGAGCAAGCTCTACAGTTATCAAAACAATAAGACTTCTGTTAAAGAGAATGCATGTACCTTAGGCTTCAAAGTTCAGGCTCCACAGTAAAGCCTATGGCAAAAGACTCATTAATAAATTAAATTAAAATAATTTCACTTCAATGAACACTTATAAAAAGAAGTGCAGGGGCCTCACTGATAAGTAGCTATATGTAAGCAACACCTGACACTCCTATACTATCTTCTATTTGAGATGCTCAAAGCATTTTCCTAATCTCTGTACAGCACCTTGCACAGCAGACTCCCATTTTCAGTCAGCCATGTGGGCTTCCACAGTAAGATCTGCTGCTAGTAACAGAGGTCATTGAGACTCTGTGCCCCATCAGTTATCCCACAGCTTCAGAGCTCCAAACTGCCTAACCAGCTTGCTCTGTGTATAGGCTCAGCAGGGAACAGAGTGACTGAGGACAAACTCAGACTAGCACAAGCAGCAGTACTTTTGCGGATATTCAACTGCACAAAGGACTGTAGGGCCAAAGGGTTGAATACCCAATTACAAAAACAGGATCCAACTCAATGGGATCCAGCTCAAACCTGTTAGGTAGACATTGCCATGGACAATGGAATTATATTCTTAAGTGACTTCATGATTTCTGAAAAGAGATCTAGGGTATTTCACAATTCCTATCACTAAAGTTCTTCTCTTTCCCCAGTCAGAACATCAGTGAATGGGAGAGAAACATACTGGTCACGTTTGGAGGGAGAGAAGGGAATGTACACCTAGAGGAGCCTGTCCACTAATGTGCCATTTGAATTTCAAGATCCTTGCCATGAAGAATCATTTCTGTAACTCCCATTGAAAGGCACTTTTCCTCAAATCTCCCTACTGAAGGGGTAGCATTCCATTCTGGCACAGGATACTAGCCCCACCTTTCATCATAGATATGTCCAGGAAGGGCACAAAGTACAGTCAATGTATCATGAAAGCCAGGGAGGCAAGGGAAGCAAACCTGGTCTGAGACAAAGCCAGCAGAACTGACAATAGGGAAAAAAAAGTCAAAAGTTCAGAAATACATCCAAGAATGGACCAAGCTGGGAATCAGTAATAAACAGACACACTCCCTCCTTGTGGAGGCTAGGTTTCTCATGTTTCCTGATTTCCAAATTGTAAACTGAACACAGCAAAATTTTTTTCTGGCTTTTCAGGCTCTCTTGCCCCTGGTGAACTGAGGAGCTGCACAGCTACAGAGACCATACAGAAGAAAAATTTTTCAAAGCAACTTCACAACCTCAAAGAACAACTTTGAAGTGGAGAGAGGTTCGAATCAGTCTTGCATCAAGGCTTGAGTTGGTTCTTATTTTATCTCTGGTCCACAATGGTAATTATCACCTCCAACTCAAAAAGAAGCAGCTAACAGATTGGCCTGTATTACAGAGGAAGAGGGAATTAATTAAGCAGTTGCTAATTACACTGTAATCTTAAACACTAAATTAATATTATGATGATCCTGATAGGCAACTCTGACATTGCCAAATCCCTCCCAGTGTCTAGCTACTGCACAGAATGTTCCTTCCACATAACCAAAACAACTGGTATACTCTCAAAAGAATACAGCAAATGCGCAACGGCTCTGCCAGTTTCTAATTTTACCAGAATACAGAAACGCTCTGCAGCATGATGCTGCCCACGCCACTGACTTCGTTCTCATCCAAGACTAGTGCTGTCATTCATGTTACAGTGTGAGACTGAAGCCCAGAGTTATAAAAAGATAGACAAAATCAACCAATCCCTCCCTTTACAAATGCCAGATTACTTTCACTGAGCTTGCATCTGGCCCAGTGTTAAATGTCCCACTTGGTATCAATGAATTCTCAACACTGTACACTCCTCCACTGCTCCTAAACCTATCCTCAGATCTTACCAAGTCATAGCACAATGTTACCCCTCAATAGCTGTCTACCCATACATAAGAACCAGTTCCCTAAACAGAGGCTTCAAAAGAAATTTTCTGCTAGTGAGCTTCATCAAGTTTCTTATGGAGTCTGCAAAGAACTACTGAACCAACATGCTTAAAATACAACCAGACTCAAATCTCTCTATACAAACTCAGATGAAATCTGTCCAGAGTCTCATAGTTTTATGTCAGGTTCCTTGATACTCATGTGTTCTTTTCTCCAGGCTTTTGTTTTGTTTTGTTTGCCCCACTGTAACTTGTCTTAAAGTTTTGTGTCTGCTGCTGCTGAACTTATTAGCTCTTAAGAATTGCAGTCTCTTCATTACAGTCTGCTTTTGCCTGGCTATGGTTCAATGAGGAAATCAAGCATCCAGGTAAGAAGCCAGGGCAGGGCTAGATTGAAGGACAGATACGTTAGGTCTATGCAGATGTCACTAATATTCAATATCCAAAATCACTTGTTTGCTACAGAGATTTATCTTTCATTTGCAAAAAGAATAATCCCCAAGGTGAGCTTCTTAGAAGTAAACATGTCTGCTCTATTGGCTTCACCTGGTCCATGGCTAAGGCATGACAGCAGTTCAAGCTGCCTGTGCTCAGATGAGAGCTGACTTCTGACTGTCCAAAAATGAGCAGGGAAGGCAGAGGTCACTGGTGCAGCAAGACTAAAGAATCTCTCAGAAGCAACTCAAACACATGCAGTCATACATACCAGAGGAAACTAAGAAATCAGAAAGAGACAGAACATTCTTTTTTAAAAGTATACACACAGATTTTAACACATGCTGCCATCACCTACAGAAGACTGAGCACTGGTAGCTTGGTTTTGGGGTCACTGCTTGCAGCTATGGGTATAGAACCCTCTAAAGCATTTAAGAGCAGGACCAGTGAAGCGCTTTATAGCCAATGACTTGTGACCTCCCTGAAGGCAGAGAACATGAAAGTCAGGCATGTCTGTGATTTGCCATCATCTAAAGCAAAGAATTTTCCCTTTCCCCTACTTCCTATTCTTCAGAAAATAATCTCTTACCATCACTCAAAACACAGACCAACTGCACAGTCTCATCACTGGAACTTCTCATTTATTTTTGTCTTAAACAGTAGATTACCTCAAAAACAGTGACTGAGAAACACTAGTCAAGCAGGCAGAACTCAAGGACACATTGGAGAACCCAAACACCCTGAATAATAGATTCTCCTCCAGCAACAAGAAGCTTCATTCCCTCTCTAGGCCTCAATTTCCTGTGCTTTAAAAAGGAAAGAGCTGCTCCCTGCCACCAGGTAGCACTACCTTATGGCCAGGGACAGAGCATGAAGCTTAGCACTTGTTAAGTAAGAAGGAAAGATTACAGTTTGCATTTCTGCCTTCACCCTTTCGAAAAAACCATTCATTTTTCACAACAGTTTATGATGCTGCACGCACACGGCACCTGAGCCAACCCACAGAGCTTGTTTCTTATTGCATCTGCCCTCAGGAGCCAACTCCTTGTAAAACTCATTAACAAAGTGCTTAAAAGTCACAGAAAATGCAGACAGACAGCTGCTTACCACTGGGGGTCTGTAAATGATGGAGATTGTGGCCTGAAGTGACAGATGTATAATGCAAGTGAGGTACGGGGAGACTGATACCCCCTCCAGAGTCTCTGCTCTCCATGTTCCTGGCTGCTCATGGATTCATCAGTGAACATTGGCAAGGAGAAGGCAGCAGCCTCCATTTCCAGTTTTATGAGAAATATCAGTGATGCATTCATTTTACAGATATATAAAAATATCAGATATAGCATTCATTTTGCACATCTGGAAACCACTCCAATCTCAGAAGTATGTAATCACCCATCCTCACTTAACTCTTGCTTTGAGAATGATCCCCAAAATAGCAGTCCTTCTCTCCCCAAATCTCATACCAAGGTCATAGTGCAATGGTTACCCTAGTTTATCAACACAGCCAGGATACTTATAACAAAATGTAAAAATGGCATATGCAGAGAACAGGGTTTGACCTAAGTCACTCTTAAAAGGCAGCAGGACACAGTACCTGGGTGACTGACCTTGAAGAAAACATGGGCCCAAAGTGAACACTTGCTCTGAAGGTCCCACCCTACCCAAGGAAGCAGACACAGCTCTCAGTATCTCCATTTTTCTCTTTCCAAAATGTGCTAACAACAGATGTATTCCTTACATGCTTCCACCTCCTTTCTCCCCACGGTGTCAAGAACTTGAAGAGCTCCCTACAGACATTCTGATTTCCTAAGCCAGCTGAAAATGCAGACAGGGAATGCAGAAAATCCCAAGTTCTTGTGAACTTCAATTCCCTTACCCATCTAGGAATCTTCCTGCACATTGCAATGGTAGAACTTACTGTGGCAATGGCTCGGCCCACACGAACAACTCCAAAATCATTAGGATCCAGGAACTTGTTTCCATACAGATAGATGCCAGAAGCAGCTGCTGTCAATGAGGCAAATTTCAAGGCCCTTAATGCCATGACTGATGAACCCTGCCAAGATACAAAACAGCAACTGTAACATCTGATAAGGACTTGGTGATCTGATGCTCACAGCCCCAGAGGACCTGACAATCCAAGTTTTAATTGCTCCTTTCCTAATGACACATTGCTAGCAGTGCCCCCAGCCAAGAGCTCAAGCAATCACCCAGCAACTGGGGGTAAGTTGCTCATTGCTATTCTTAACTCAACAGTGTCTACAGGCCACAAATCCAGAAGTAACTCACTGCTAGACCTTGCATGAATGCAACAAAACACTTGTTCAGGATCCCAAAGGCTTTTCAAGGAGACACAACAGGTGGACAGACAGAAGGAAGCATGAGATCACCAAAAGTCAATTCTGATCCAATCAACAGGCACTTCTTCAACACAAATTTTTGAACACATCACAGCATAGGCAGATTTTAAGGGGACAACAGATGATATAAAGACCCAGGTTTAAAAAGAGCTCTTGCAACATCAACAACACCCAAAGTTTGTTAGAAACTCTGCTAGGCTAGTTCTAAAAGCTCCACATTGATGATGAGTGGTCTAGGAAGAGGCAAGGCATCCCAGGAGGTTGTATGCCACTCCAGCAGTGCCAGACAACCACAGAGAATGCAGATGGGGGACCTGATCAGTGACCAAGTGAGATTTGTGTTCTCATTATCACCATCCCATTCAAGTGCCAGACAGGGAATGTACTGGCAGAACAGCAATCTGCAGGAATGTACAGCCTATTCCTAGCTCTGTCACAGGCCCAACACAGGCCTGGGGTGAGACACTTCTCAACCACTTTTTTCCTGTGGGACAAGGGTGGGGAATGAACACATTTCCCACACTAAGCACTTTGGATCACTACATTCATTGTTTGCAGCATATAAATGTAACTCATTACATGTTAATTTATATATTTTCCATTTCTTTATTCACCATAGAGGACCCAGATATAAAAAAAGGTAACAAGGAATTAGGTACATTTTTCTTTCCTTTCCCTATGGGTGGTACTGGGCAGAAAGTATGACTGACCATTCCTTCTGCTTCTACCACAAATCAAAAGGTATTGTAACCTCTCTGCAAGCTCTCAAGACCACCCTTGACACAGTGCAGGCTCTTACCCCATCAAGATGGAGTCTACTAATCCTCCCACTCCTAGGCTTGACTGAGAAACTTGCCTGCTTCTCATTGTGAAGCTTTAGCAGGGTCAGTCTGGCTTGTGCCTTTCCTCTCGGAGCCTTGTAACCAAAAAACACATGCAGTGACACAGGTCAAGTCTTTCAATAACAGTTCACAAGAACGCAATCAGCAAAATAAGCTAATATAACACAAGAGACCTTGCTACATGAACCTTACCTAAATTTTATTATTTCCTTACAAACCCTAGGCAATTGTGAAGCAGAAAAGCTGAGGCATATTCTCTCAGTGCCTGTCACAGCTGCCTGCAGCAACCCAGCTCTTTCTCCTGTCAGAATGGGTAGCTGGCTGACCAGGACTCCTTTGAATCTATGATCAAACTCAACAGAAAATAAACCTGGACTCTTGACTGCAGACAAATGTACACGCACTTCACAAAAAAAAAAGTCGCCCTCCTTCCCCTGCCTCACTGGAATTCTAGAAATTTTGGGGTTTCTTCCAGCAGGACCAATCTTTTTTTGTACAGAGATCTCTTGTATCCTCTGTCACCTTCAAAAGGCATTTTTTGCAAAGTATTTTAATTAAACAATTTGTGCTCCTTGTATATTTCCATAAAATTTCCTTTATTGAAAAGTGAAAGGTGCAGCAACATTTTCTTAACGGAAAATATGCCTCTCCTTTTCATTATTTTTTCCTTCACTTTCTCAACTACTAAAAGAACATTTTATTGAAAGCAGGATTCAGGTCCATCTGTTCTTGCATGTTATTCCTACCTGAAGCTATAATCTGCAGTTTGTTACATCACATCTATTGCCATACCCGCCAGCTGTACGTCACAAAGAGAAGATGGGAACTTTAGGCAGCAAATAAACAGGCAGCAAAGCTGAATTTTCTGCAAGAAAGTTCCTACTTTCATGCTTAGCATGTTGAAGCAATAAAAAGGGAATAACTAAAACCCCTCCAATAAGAGGTACAGAAATAGAATTCTCTAAAGTAAATTGTATTTCAAAGTTTTGCATAAGGTATAGTGAAGCCTTTTCCATGTAAATGAGCCATTATGACACCCCTAGGGATATCTTAAGGGCCCTGTCAGCTGTGAAACAAGCCTTGGGATGTCACTGCCTCTCATTATTAAGCCCTGCGTTGATAGATCACCTCCAGCTCTTTTTTCACCTGAGTGAGGTGGCTCCTTTGACTTTCACACAACTTGGCGCACCTAGGTGTCCCCCACGTTACAGCCAGGCTTCTCCTGTTCCCGGCAGGGGCAGCCGGGACGGTGCCGGTTCCCTGTCCGAGCCCCGAAGGTGACCCCACCGCCGCCTGCCGCGGCCCGGGAGCGGCGGTGACCGCTGACCGCCCCGAGGACCGTGGGAGCCGGCGCCGCTCAAAGCCCCGGCCGGGCCGCTCCGGCCGCCAGGCCCGCGTCCGCCGCCGCGCCCGGGATCTGCCCGTGAAGGACACGAGGGGCCGGCGCCGCCTGCTCTCCGTTCCTCTTCAGGCCGGGCCGGCTCTCCCGGAGCAGCTTCCGCGCCCCGCGCCTCTCCAGCCTCCACGAACAGCCCCGGCCTCGCCGAACGCTGCGACAACCGAGTCCCCGCCGCCGGGGCCGCAGCTGCGGGCGGCATTCGCCACTCGGGCGCGGAGTCCCCGGCACGGCCGGGGCGGCCGCGGGGGCTGTGAGGGAGGGACGGCCCGGGCGCTCCGCCGGCGCTCGGAGCGGCACTTACCGACCGCCTCGCCGGCACTTCAACTCGCGCGCGCCCCACGCCGCTCCCCCCTGCACCTCGCACATGGTACGGCCCTGGCCCGCGCGGCACGCCGGGAAACGTAGTCTCCCTTGGCGGCAGCTCCGAGGGGCGGGGGCGCGGTGGGACTTCAAGGGGCGGTCCTTGGGCGAGCCCACGGGGGACTGGCGGGGGGAGCGCTGCGCTTCGATGGGTCCGCGCTGCGCTTCGATGGGTCCGCGCCGCGCCGACGCCTCCGCCCTTGCTGCGGGGAAGTGCGCAGCTCGAACCCCGGATTGCAGGATTGCTACCTGCTCCTCTTCAGTAACTGCAAAGTAACGCAATCTCACTTTGTCAATGACGCTTCCAAAAAACCTATGCTCTGCACTCTTAAAAAAAATTCACACTTAAATTAAATTTCACACTTAAATTAAATTTCACATTCTATTTCGCAGAATCTACTAGGTTGAAAAAGACCTTTAAGATCATTGAATCCTATCGATGACCTAACACTACTTTGTCAATTAGGCCATGGCACTAAGTGCTACATACAGTCTTTTCTTAAAAAACTCCAGGGACAGTGACTGCACCACCTCCCCACGCAGCCCATTCCATTATTTAATCACTCTTTCAGTGAAAGAACTTCTTCCTAATGTCCAGCCTAAACCTCCCCTTCCACAGCTTGTGTCTTGTGCTATTGCTGGCTTCCTGGGAGAAGGTGCCACCCCTCACCTGGCTGCACCCTCCTTTCAGGTAGCCATAGAGAGTGGTAAGGTCTCCCCTGAGCCTCCTCCTCTCCGGGCTAAACACCCCCAGCTCCCTCAGCCACTCCTCATAGGACTTGTGCTCCAGAGCCTTCACTAGTCCAGGTAGACAACATCCACAGACTCTCCCTCAGATACCCGGCAGGTCCCCTGGTCCTAAAGGGAAATAGGGTTGGTGTGGCAAGGCCTGCCCCTTCAAAATCTATGCTGGCTGGGTCTGATTGCTTGGGCATCCTGTCGGTGAAGTGGGGTTTTACTCAAGATGATCTATTCCATCTATACTTGGAACAGTAAGGTCAGACTGACCTCACTGAGACCTTGGCAGTGAGGTCAGACTGACAGGTCTGTAGTTTCCCAGATCCTCCGTTTGGCCCTTCTTATGGATGGGTTAACATTGGGTAACCTTGAGTCATCTGGGACCTCCCCAGGGAGCCAGGACTCATGGTAAATGATTGAGAGCGGCTTTGCAAGCTCATCTGCCAACTCCCTCATCATGCTAGAATGGATCCCATCTATTCCCATAGATTTGTGAGCACCTAAGTGGGTCAGCAGGTCACTACCTGCTTACTCCTTGATTACAGGGTGGATATTCTGCTCCCTGTCCCCATCAACTAGCTCAGGAGAACATGGCATTGCCTTCAAGAAAACATCCTGATGACAAGTCTCTCATCCTGGATTAACAGGTTTTCTATCCCTGTAGAAAAGTGCTGTAAAGGTGATTTAACTCCCTTCTCACTGCTGTGGGACAGTAGTGTGTTAAGTATTTTTCTAAAAGATAAACATAATATTGGGAACATGTGGGGGTACTTGTATTAAATTGTGTGGCAAGGTTTGGCTGTGGGGGGTGGAGGATGCTGCAGGGTGCCTCTTGCGAACAGAAGCATCCCCCATGTCTCAGAGGGCCAGCACCAAATGGATCCAGAAAAGCCCAATGCAATGGCCCAAAAGACAACAAAAGGACTCGCAAACACAATGGAATGGAGATATCAGCCAAGGAATTGCAATTGTGAAGAAAAAACAGAAATGGGAAAGTTAGTGACTACAAGAAAATCGAACAGAATTATATCCAGTACAGTAAAAAAGACCAAAAGAGAAAAACACTACGCTAAGAGATCTTTCAAAAGCGGCGGAAAAAGTCAAGGAGGAAGACAAAACTAGAATGGGAAGATACGAGGGGCATGGCATGGACACTTAGACAAAATAAAAAAAAAGAAAAACATTTTTCCCACATGCCATCAAGTGCAGGCACATGCAGCAAAGCTTGCCAAAATGGATCCCCGCTGAAGGACAAAAGACAGAAGAAGGACCGAGAAACACGCTGGAATGGAGATAGCATCAAAGGAATTGCAATTGGAAGAGAAAAAAAAAAAAAAAAGGGAAATTTGGGCAATTTAGTGACTATAAGAAAATGGACCGGGATTATATCAGAGCAGTGCAAAAAACCAAAACATGCCAAAACTAAGCTCACAGACATTGCAAAAGCAGGGGAAAAAGTCAAGGAGGAAGAAAAAACTAGAATGGGAAGATACGAGGGGCATGGTATGGACACTTAAAAAACACTCAAAAAAAAAAGGAAAATATCTTTCCCAAAGTCAAAGCCATCAAAAGGCATGGCATGTCCTCAAGTGCAGGGACATGCACCAAAGATTCCTCTCTTGGTCCCCATTGAAATCGCAAGATTCCGTTTCCCTTCCCGAAAGGAAATGAAATTTCCTTTCGGGAAGGGAAACGGAATCTTGCGAATCCGAAAAGAAAGGCTTACAAACACTCTGGAAAGGAGATAGCATCAAATGAAATGCAACTGAAAAAAACCCCCCAAAAACCAGAAAATCGGCACTTTTAGTGTCTTCAAGAAATGGTCTGTGAGGAAATCAGCTGCGTTGCAAAGGACCAAAACATGCCAAAACTAAGCTCACGGATGTCGCAAAAGCAGGGGAAAAAGTCAAGGAGGAAGACAAAACTTGGATGGGAAGTTATGAGGGACATGGCATGGATGCTTAAACATAATAAAAAAAAAGAAAAACATTTTTCCCGTATTCTATCAAGTGCAGGCACATGCAGCAAAGCTTGCCAAAATGGATCCCCGCTGAAGGCCAAAAGACAAAAGAAGGACCGAGAAACACGCTGGAATGGAGATAGCATCAAAGGAATTGCAATTGGAAGAGAAAAAAAAAAAAATTTTGAAATTTGGGCAATTTAGTGACTATAAGAAAATGGACCGGGATTATATCAGAGCAGTGCAAAAAACCAAAACATGCCAAAACTAAGCTCACAGACATTGCAAAAGCAGGGGAAAAAGTCAAAGAGGAAGAAAAAACTTTGATGGGAAGATACGAGGGGCATGGCATGGACGCTTAAACAAAATAAAAAAAAAAGAAAAAATTTTTTCCCGTATGCTATCAAGTGCAGGCACATGCAGCAAAGCTTGCCAAAATGGATCCCCGCTGAAGGCCAAAAGACAGAAGAAGGACCGAGAAACACGCTGGAATGGAGATAGCATCAAAGGAATTGCAATTGGAACAGAAAAAAAAAAATTTTTTGAAATTTGGGCAATTTAGTGACTATAAGAAAATGGACCGGGATTATATCAGAGCAGTGCAAAAAACCAAAACATGCCAAAACTAAGCTCACAGATGTTGCAAAAGAAGGGGAAAAAGTCAAGGAGGAAGAAAAAACTAGAATGGGAAGATACGAGGGGCATGGCATCGACGCTTAAACAAAAAAAAAAAAAATAGAAAAAATTTTTTCCCGTATGCTATCAAGTGCAGGCACATGCAGCAAAGCTTGCCAAAATGGATCCCCGCTGAAGGCCAAAAGACAAAAGAAGGAGCGAGAAACACGCTGGAATGGAGATAGCATCAAAGGAATTGCAATTGGAAGAGAAAAAAAAAAAAAATTTGAAATTTGGGCAATTTAGTGACTATAAGAAAATGGACCGGGATTATATCAGAGCAGTGCAAAAAACCAAAACATGCCAAAACTAAGCTCACAGACGTTGCAAAAGCAGGGGAAAATGTCAAGGAGGAAGAAAAAACTAGAATGGGAAGATACGAGAGGCATGGTAGGGACACTTAAAAAAAACTCAAAAAAACAAGGAAAAAATCTTTCCTAAAGTCAAAGCCATCAAAAGGCATGGCATGTCCTCAAGTGCAGGGACATGCACCAAAGATTCCTCTCTTGGTCCCCATTGAAATCGCAAGATTCCGTTTCCCTTCCCGAAAGGAAATGAAATTTCCTTTCGGGAAGGGAAACGGAATCTTGCGAATCCGAAAAGAAAGGCTTACAAACACTCTGGAAAGGAGATAGCATCAAATGAAATGCAACTGAAAAAAACCCCCCAAAAACCAGAAAATCGGCACTTTTAGTGTCTTCAAGAAACGGTCTGTGAGGAAATCAGCTGCGTTGCAAAGGACCAAAACATGCCAAAACTAAGCTCACGGATGTCGCAAAAGCAGGGGAAAAAGTCAAGGAGGAAGAAAAAACTTGGATGGGAAGTTATGAGGGCCATGGCATGGATGCTTAAACAGAATAAAAAAAAAGAAAAACATTTTTCCCGTATTCTATCAAGTGCAGGCACATGCAGCAAAGCTTGCCAAAATGGATCCCCGCTGAAGGCCAAAAGACAAAAGAAGGACCGAGAAACACGCTGGAATGGAGATAGCATCAAAGGAATTGCAATTGGAAGAGAAAAAAAAAAAATTTTGAAATTTGGGCAATTTAGTGACTATAAGAAAATGGACCGGGATTATATCAGAGCAGTGCAAAAAACCAAAACATGCCAAAACTAAGCTCACAGACGTTGCAAAAGCAGGGGAAAAAGTCAAGGAGGAAGAAAAAACTTTGATGGGAAGATACGAGGGGCATGGCATGGATGCTTAAACAAAATAAAAAAAAAGAAAAACATTTTTCCCGTAT